CAGTCTTTCTCAACTTATTGTATTGTTATAATAAAGCTATTTTAACAGTTCCTGAAACAGAGGCTGACCCTTTAGAAAGCATATATTTATCATCATCCCTGTATTAGCCATATTAAAAAGCCATCTCGAGAAGTATTCCTGGGGAACAGAGAGAAAATTAAATTTTATTATTAGCATGTTAGAGGTAGGTAAATAAATCAGAAGCACTTCTTTCTTTAAATATCAAATACATAGCAATGAGTGGTAACTCACAAAAACAGACATGGAACATTTTATAGGAAATAGTATTTTATAAAACAGGTATCAGCTTAGTATTCAAAGGTGTTGTAGAAATGATGACACTAAAATGATTGTAATAAGCAATAATACTGATCCTCATATTAATAGCAAAAATAATAGCATCTTTAGTTCTTTCCACCAGAGAAATGTGTTTGCTAAAAGTAGTAAGTGAAAATGCCTGTAAATGATTAGAGTACAAAGTACTCTAATTGTTGGAAAAAGTCTTAGTAAAATGTTGCTGTGCATCCACTTCTAAAATATTTTAACTAAAACTGTGCATATATTTAGGTACCATATTAATCAATATGTGAATAGATTGAGATACAATTTTATAAAAGACTAATATTTTATATAGAACATTTTGGTGTGGACCATTTTAAATCTAGTCTATCTGGGTCAAGTTTTTTCAAAATCATTTCTGGGTTGCAGGTATTTTAAAATTTTGAATATGATAGTTCATCATGAGTGTTAGTCTGTCTACCTTGCCTTTACTAGTACTTTTATCTTTTGAGGTTTGGAATGTCATATAATTTGGCTAACTACTTCAATCTGTTCCTTCCTTCTGTCAATCTCTTTCCTGCAGCTGTCTTAAATGCCTGCCCTCCGTCTTACCCCTCATACACATATGGAAGAGTCACTGACAAAATAAATACCACTGAAAAGAGTTTAAAACTTGCTTCAACATGGATGATTGGTTCTACGGATCTTACTAAACTGACCTATCTGTAAGTTCAAAACAATGGATGCAGAAAAACAAACTCAATAAAACCATTTTTGATTGAACTAAACACATGCTTGAAGTTACCCTTGCGAAACATCCTACTTAATTTCAAGAATTATTATTAAAGTGGCTACTACATTCACAGCACCATGCAAGCACCATGCTAGGCCTCTGCAACATGCAACAGAAAGAGGATGTGATTCTCCACCAAAACATTTGTAACTTGATTTGGAAACAAGGCACGTACCTGTGTAATAAAATGATAGTGTAAGATAATGTGTAATCAAATTCTAAAATATCCAGATCACAGAAACAAACACTATGAGGTATCAAAGAAAATTATATTTGGACGAAGAAATCAGGAAGACTTCTCATTGGGACTTTGTGGTAAACCTTTTTACCCTTTCTCTATGGGAATTCTCCCTTTGCCCAAACCATCCATGTAGTTTCACAAAGAGCATGCTTACCTAACTCTGCTTTCTGAAAACAGTAAACTGATTGTTGGATGAGCTGGTTATGCATGCTAAATATTCCCTGTCACAAATACTTGAGCTTTGGCTCAAGAAAATTTTGAGAAGCTTGTGAACAGAGACAGAGGTCTATTTTACACTTTGAGAGCTGTTGGTGGATTTGCTTCCATTCATTAGATCAGAGAAAAGAAAGTGTTCAATCTGTGGCAAAGAAGGAAATACAGAGGAAAAGTTGAGAGAGAATCTATCTGGAATTTGAATCCCTCATTCCAGTTGTTCTTTGTGGTAAGTCTAATTTCTTTTCTTGAGTTCCATGGGACTCTCCATATCATATCTTTGTAAATTGCTTTTTTTTTTTTTTGAAATTTAGATTGGGTGGAGATTCTTCATGTTTCTACAAAGAGTCTTAATACAAAAATGAATCTGGCTTATTATTTTACGCCTGTGCCTTTTTCTCATTAGGAATATCTTCATCTATAAAGATTGGTTGGCAGATGTGTATTATTATCATTAAAATTACACATTTACAGACCACTCTCCAGTCTGCTCTGTACAACAGAGACATTACATATTTGAGCAATTGTGATAACTCCATAAATTTGCCAAGAGATTGAATTTGCATAGCCCAGCATCATCTCAGTGTGAGCATCTGAGGGACAATTTCCTACATCATTGAAAAGTAGAAAGTTGTCTTATATTCATACAAGTCAAAAAGAACAGAGAAAAATATGCCAATGGTTTCTTTATTTCTATCATTCAGAAACACACAGGTGTTTATTTTGTTTTTTTTTTTTTAAATAAGTCTATAGGATAATACATCTTTCAATTACTGAAGAAATGTTTATAGATACTTACAACATATGATTTTTAGTAACAGTGAAAAAGTCTAAAAATGAGTAGCCATTAATAGTATGCTATATATCTATATCTATACCTATATCTACATATTTAATTCAAGTTCATTTTAGCTTTATGAAAACCCTGCATGATAATTATTATTACCCCATTTTACAAATGGAAAGACCTATACACATACAGTGAAAGACTGCTAAAGCTTATAAATATCAAGTAATACATAAATCACCAGAACTGAGCTTTATTGATACAAATCTATCACTTCCACTAAGCATTATTTAATTCTTCCTTAAATTCTTAGGAAAACTTAAATAATAATAATGAAATAAGAGTAAAAATTATGTGGTATCATAATATGTCATTTTAGAAATAAATCATATTTCTTAATGTTGGCATTAATACATGACTTTTGGGTTTCTAGAATCAGAGAGTGGTCCTGCTAGGAGTAACTTTGAGAACATACTTTCAATCTGCTCTTTTAGAGATGAGAAGCTGAGAATCAGGGCTTCTTCTCTGCTTCTATGCTATCTTTATAACATAATGGATGGCTGGATATTTATGTGGATAACCTTGGCATTTCTCTGAAAGTAGCATAGTGAAGTCTTTATCTCCTACTCAATCCCAAACTTCAAGAGGGTTCTTTCTTCGCAGGTTTGTGACGGTGAACAGTCTTATGTATACAGTGTTCATTCATTATATGATTTATTGATTATAATTCTAAGGATGGAAAACAGGATGATGTAAGTTAAAACATCTTGTGTCAAAATCATGTACTTAACATATTCTCAAGGGAATATTAAGTCAGGGAGAATGAAGTTCCTTCCAAATCTTGGCAGAGCATCCACAACAACTCTAAGCACTAAGAAGAGAAGAATGCCTCTCAAATAATGAAATCAATGTGTTCTCTACCTGGACTCTTTTCCAAAGCTGATTCAGTTGGATTGTGTGTGTGTGTGTGTGTGTGTGTGTGTATGTGTGCATGTTATATGTATGTTTTTGGTATTTTCTGCAAGGCAGCATAATAAGAGATCCAGGAAAGTAGGGCCCATATTATCAAAAGTACAAAGGCAAGAAAATGCAAGAAATGTTTTCACAATGGAAAGAAGGCTACTTTTTTTCTTCGAAAATAAGTTTATGTAGAAGAAAAACAAAAGGTCACATAGATGGAGAGGATGGAACCATATTTTATGGACCTTGAATGTTGGACAAACTTTTGTACTTAATTGTGTAGTGATGGTGAATCATTCATGATTTATAAATAAGGAAATGATAAAGATAAATACATCAGATAGATTGAAGAGGAGAGTGGCTGAAGCAGGAAGATGAGTCCAGAGGCGATTACAATTGTTACAACTGACTTAGGTCTCCCTACATACTGCCAGCACTGTGGTGGTGTTTCTTCAAGGCAGTCTGAAGTCTGCTAATGCAGTTTTTCACTGTTAATGTTTCAAACATTTTTATATCCAGACATTTAAATTTTTAAAAATCCTAATTCAACGCCCTCCTGAGAGGACTGAGTGCTTCGCAAACATTCTGTCAGAACAGCCCTCTGAGAAAGGCAGGCAAGCTCTCCCCTACCCTTGAAAGTTGGCAAATAGAAAGTTACCTTTGATTCATCCTCATGTCCTTTGAATAACTGTTTTGTTATTTCAATAAAGGTCAGAAGGCTTAATGCACAGGGAAAGGTTTGCTCAGGGTTTTTTTTTCCTTTATTTTTAGAAATGAACACAAATGCAAACCCTATTCACTGGTGGCTTTGAGATACACAGTTTCACCACCAAGAAGCAGTTGTGGTTTCTAATCAGAAAATGAAACCCAGACAATTCTCAGGAACAGACATAGTCTTATTTTGGTGTTGACTCTTCAAAACCAGAGCCATACCCAGGAAGATGGATGAAAACAGAAATGGTATGGTCTTTTTAGGATAAATGTTCTGATTAATAACTCATTTTTGGTCTAATTACAAATGTCATTCTGTCACTTTGGCTCTGTAGTTTTTTGTTTCTTTTGTTGTTTATATTCATTTTTTTAAGATGGGGCCACTGGCCTGAATCCTAGGCAGGGTAGATGAAACAAAACCTTCTTTCCATAAGGACATAACATTCTGTTGGAAAGAGGCCCCACTAGCTGTATTCACACTGATCTTTAGAAATCTAAACAAACATGATTTTACTCCCTTTTTCACATCTTGGTAGGCATTTTTTTTCATTCATATATTTAACTAACCCTTTTATACATGATGTTTATCTCTCTTCTTCTCTTGCCAAGCAGTGTCTCAGGTTTAGTTGAGATGTTATACTTCTCCAGTTATTCTAAAAGTATAAAGTTATCAAATTCACTGGAAGACGTTGCTGTGTAATATCAACAACAATGATATAAACAACAGGAGCAATACAATATTGATCACTTATTAAATACCAGGCTGAATTTTAAATGTTTGGCAAGCACTGTCTCATTTAGTATTAGGAAAATTCTAATAGAGTGAATATTGTTTTCACCTCTATTTTACGTTGAGTCAAAAGAGAGAAAGAGAGGTGAGGGTAGGTAACTCACATGAGGTCATGTGGCTTACAGGCATACTATAGTATTTTCTCCCTGACTCCTTTGCTTCTTATCAGCTGCTATGGAATCCATTCTAGGAAACTGCTGAGATACTAGGAGCAGCCCTACATGCCTTCATGTTTTGAAGCAAGATATAGTTTATTGATGAATACAAACCCATCAAGGAAATACTTTCCCAAATGATGAAAAGCTCTTTTTTCTTTTATGGGCGGTTTCTGGAGTATATGTGGAATTCTTGCCCAGTCCATTTTAATTCTTCAGTTAAGATAGAAAAACACTGAAGGCAAAAACAGCTTAACATTCTTCAACTTAGGTGTTAAATTTGAGGGTCACTTATGCACTGATTCTTTCTTCTCTCTGTAAGTTATGAAAAGAGTTAACATCAATGAATTAGTTTTTGTGTTTATGTATCTCATTTAATGTTGTAATTTGGAAGACTTGACTAGCTTCCTGTAAAACCTGTCAGGACAGAAAAGAAGCTGATTTCAGATATTCAAAGTGCTGAACTGACTAAGTAAAAGAAAAGTGCCAGTTGTGGATTATGAGTTCGGTCACAGACCTTCCGACTATGGAATTTTAATTCCATTTTTGGTTGTGGTTCTCTAGGGCTCCAAGCGCAGATCAAAGGCCCCTTCTTGTTTTCATTTTTAATGGGTTACTCCTTAAAAAGTAAAACCTACTACACTCCTGGGTCTTCCACAACAGGAGTCCTCTATGAGCTGATCCCAGCTTCTCCACTACCACAAACAGATCTGTGTGTGACCTGTGTGTAGATCAGCTCTCAGCCAGAGTTACTCCAAGTCTGGCTGACCCACATCCAGAGTCGCCCCCATCTGGATTCAAATACCAATATTCAGAATTTGGAATCCCACCACAATGGACACCAGTCCACCCTGGCACTCCGTTTGGAGTTCTTAGGTGATTTCTGTCCAAGATCCTCTTTGGCAGAGCCCCACTGGCTCCCTATCGCCAACAATAAGGAAAAAAAAAACACTTTCAGAATGCACAAATAGGGGAAAAATACTGTCCAAATGAACAAAATGGTTAGGGGCAATGGATTTCGATTACAAAATATTCATATATGAGCATTTATTTATCCTTGAAAATGTGTGGGTATTTGAACCATGTGATATTATTTAAGATAATGTGTATTCATACATAAGACTAATAAGACTAATTATAAGATCCCGTGAGTATATTTGGATGCATTTTTAACCACACTTTATATGTGGCTTTAGATGTTTTAACCATGTATAAAATGGATATTTAGAAAGTCTAAACATCATTTCAATGGTGACCAAAAAAACCCCTCTTATTTTGCTGGATTTATTCTTTCATAGGGAGAAATTATCAAGGAGTGACATAGAATGAACTGTGAAGAACAAAAATAGATTACTTGTGCAAGTATGTGTTTGAGTGTGTGTTCCTAGATGGTAAGAGTTGGTTCTATTCTTCCAAAACCCTGATAACAGAGGCTAAACTTTGAAGCAACACAGAGAAAAAAAAAGAGTAAAATCAGGTAAGAATTCTATTCAGAGTATGGAGACTCATATTCTTATAGTGTGATTATGTTCCACCTCAAAGTGGCTTGCAGTTCAACAAGCCAAGGGTGAAACCATTTTAAGAACTAGATTACAATTGATATCTCCAAACCATGAACTAAGCCCTATTATACCAAACATAATGATAAACCTCCATGTATCTCTGATTTGCAACAAACTCTCTTACCATCAGACTTTTCCCTTTTCTTCCTGATTGGAACCCACTTTCTGAAGCTTGCCCTCTTCCCCCATCTATCTACTACTCACTCTTTATCTAGTTGACTTCTCAAATATTAAGGTTCAACTTAGTGCCTATATTCTCTTGAAACACTACCTTGATCCCCTCCTACCCACCAAAATATCTCTCTTCTGTGTCTCACGTACCCTGCAGTTTTCCATTTATGTCATTTATAACATTGAATTATCTTGTTTTATCTGTTTTTGCCAGCAAACCATACTCTATAAGTCAGGATCCATAGGCTATCTTGTTTCCCTCTGCTTTCTTCTGTGTCTAGCCTAATATTTGATATATAGTAAGTGTTTGATAAAGCTTTCTGGTCTAAATGGGGAACAATTATATCCCACAGTTTAACTTAGAGCTTCTTAAACCACACAACACTTTCCTATATGTTCCCAGGGAAACTGCAACATAGACTACCAAGTGCAAGACATTTCCTTCCTTATATTTATGCCATCCATCACAGGTAATCAAGAGCCAGAAAGTCTTCATTTTTTCTCAGGCTCCACCATGGAAAAGTTGGCTTTAAACCATGATTCTGATGTCCCACATGATTCCTGATTCTTGTGTATACTACTGGCCCATCTGCTAGTGGGTTTGCCCAACCATCTGGCTGAGTTACACTGTTTGCATCTTTGCTTCAGCATCTCCTCAGAGCATTTCTCCTTCCATCGTATTGTCTAGTCTTTCCACTTACTATCACTTTCCTCAACAGCTGATGCCAGAGCCCACCTCTGCTCTCATTTGAGGACATCATAAGTTCTGGTGTGGAGAGACATAACTTCCAACATACCAATCTTGCCTCAAGATGACTTTGGAACACTTTTCAGTTGCCTTTCATTTCAGAAGTGTTTTAATAACATCAAGTCTCTCCTTTATAGAAGTTTCTATGAAGTGAAGAAATGATGCTAGGCATTCAACCACTGTCCCCCCGGTCTCAGCCATATATCACTCCACTTACCTCAAGTGACAGCCTCTAAGGAGAAGGTAGGATTGGCTGATCCCAAGAAAAGAAAGCTGGTGTATGTTGTTCTGGAGCCTGAATGAAAAAAAGTAGGTCCAATAACATTTTGAAAACAATTATTAAGGAAACAACCCAAAAATATTCTCTACAGATTTAGTTCCAAATGAGTGAATATTGATAATTTCCTTTTGTTTAGCATGAAAGTTTCAGAAGAGGTAGTGTTGACATTTTCTTGCACATATATAATTTATATCATACATTCATATACACACATATACATAGCTTATGAAATCATTTTAAAAGGAAAATATGCTGCCACCCACTAATCTTCAAGGAAGTCATTCCCTCTTATTGAAATTCCAGTATATATAAAAGACTTAATTTAGATATCACCATGGTTTTGAGATTTTTAGACCACATCAATTTTTTTTGAGAGAGAGAGTGAGGCAGCACATGAGCACGAGGTGGGAGGCCAGAGGGAGAGGGAGAGAGAAAATCTTAAGCAGGCTCCAAACCTAGTGCAGAGCATGATCCAGGGCTCAATCTCAAAACTGTAAGGTCATGACCTGAGCCATTATCAAGAGTGGGTGCTTAACTGACTGAACCACACAGGTACCCCAGACTACATTGATAGGCATAATAAAGAAATCAGAGATGCCATTTTAACTTATTCTTCAATATATGGCCATAAATGTTCCATGGGATGATCCCCTAAATGAACCAAGATCAGTCAGAGGAATTTATGCTGAGGAATGTTGACAAGGGAAGCAAAGAAATGTAATTGACCATGTTTTTGTTTTCCTCAAGAACTCCTTTCTTCGGTATGAAAAACAAAGCTTCTCATAGAGCCCTGTCTTCCTGACTCATTTCATGCCCATTCAACTTGGTGCCCTGTGTTCTAGTTTTACTATTGCTAATACCTCCTAAGCTATTCCTCAAAGAGTCTTCCCTACCGTGCCATTCCAGACAAGGCTAGACCATTTTGATCTATGTTCTTAAATCACACTGCACTTCTCCACATCACTCAGTAAAATTCTAAGTTAAATAATCATCTGTTTATTTTTTGTCCTGAACTAAACTACAAAGTTCAATGAAGATAGAGGAGGTCTAGATAGCTTGTTTCCCAGTATATTGCCACAATGGTCATTATGTAAAAAATTTTCAATCGATGTTTGTTGAATGAATGAATGTATGAATGATCACCTAATAAATAGGTGCTTTGTGATCTCCCTATGCTACTTATAACATGTTGTGTTCATGACCTTTACCTTGGGTCAGCTGGGTAACCCTACTCTTAATGTACCAACCAGATGATCAGCTTGTGGAGGCTTCATCTCCTTTCTGCATCTCATGTCTACACAATTATTAAGGTTCATATTCAGTCTCAACAATTCCATAAAGTTCCATATGGTCTTCCCCTCCAGTATTATTGTGTTCTTCTCAGGCCCTTATATATTTTGCATCGTTACTTAACTGCAACATAGCTATGTAATATTTCTCCCACGGGAATGTCATGGGGTCTTTTTTTTTTCCTATGTCAGCTTTCTTAAGTACTTCCTTAGGTAGCCCAAAGACAAATAATGAATGACACTAAGACACACACACACACACACACACACACACACACAGATGTAGCATTATTCTGATGATTTTGTCTTAGACTGATGCCCTGAGGTTCCCACTAGCCACTTGTTACTTATATTTTGAAGTTAGTTTCTACATCCTGAGGACTACTCACTTTCCCTTTACAATGGCATTTTTAACCAGTTTTTCCATGCCAAATGACCTTGATTACATTCAGTAAACACTCTCATTACCCAATTCTCTTTTGTAAAGAAAAAAAATCACTCTCACAAGAGATAAAACTGAGATATGTGTTCAATCAATTTATATTGAACAAATGAATTATTGCCTACATATCTCTAGCTCTCTTTCAAATACATAAAATATATCAAACAAATAGAAGGAAATCATTTTTCCTAAGTTCTACAATCTTATTGACAATGTAACCTATGACACCAAAGTTTTAGAGAATTTATCAACCAGGTCAGACTTGGTTATCCAAGGCAACAAATCACCCAAAACTCTAAGAAATAAGAGACATTAAAGATTATTTCTTGCTCGTGTAATTTGTCCATCATGGGTCAGCTGTGTGGCTCCACTCTTAAAGTATCCAACCAAAGGATTAGCTCAAGGGAGGCTCCATTTCTGTGTTTTCACAATTCCCAAAGTAGAAGAAAGGAGCAACATGAATGTGTACTGGCTAATAAAGTTTCACTGGCCAAAAAAGCCAAATGGATATGCCCAACATCAAATGGATGTGAAAGTATAATCCTATCATGGATCTGGAAGAAGGAAAACAAGGATCATTTAAAACATTGCACTAATGACTAGCACAGAGAGTAACAGTTAAATTTTGCAATGTATATCATGCATTATAAGAAAACTGAAGAAAAGACAAGAAAGGGGGCAAGCTTTATAGAACAAAGGGAATATGGATCTTAAATTGGTAGTCAAGAAGGAATACATCATAGGGCTAATTTTTAAGGAATAGATTAATGAAATGTAAATTAACCATTTCAAACAAATGTTTAAGGGGGAGAAACAGTTGAAAATTGAGTGAGTTTGTCCCCAAGGAGTAGAGAGCAGCAAGAGGATACACCGCTGGGAAAACTGGGCTGGTATGAGCAATCAGAGTGAGTGCCAACACTCCTGGTGAGGTATGGTGTTAAAGGGTGAGATATGGGCAAAGCATCTGGAACTCTATTGAAAGGCAATACATGAAGTCAAGCACTGTGGAGTGCTGGGAGAACTGTGTTTCTGGTAACTCTCTCCTTGTGGAGTGACAGCCCACTGCAACAGACCAGTAAAGAGACTGGACTTCCAACAGGTTGGACTGCTATCACGAAGGGACATGTTTCATCCCAGGCCATCTGGTAGAAGTCCCAGATTTGAGGGCAACCTGAAGTATTAACCAGGAAACTCAGAGAGGACAATTTAGAGATGGAAAATTTGGTGAAATGTGTGTGTGTGTGTGTGTGTACAGAAATTTGCAGTCTGTGAAAGAGCTAATTATGTTGATGGC